TGGCATGTGGTGCTGGGGGATTGAACCGCGGTCCCTGATGCCTTGCCAAGCTTGTTCTAAGTAGGTGCTTTAGACCACTGAGCCATCTCTCCAGCCCTAAGCCAATTCTTATAGTTGTTGTTGCCTCCACATCTATTTTGAGTATAAGTTGACTTTTTCATACCAGAAGCAAATAACTGTTAGTCACTTTTGCCATCATTTCTGGCTCGCCACCTTCTACCAGTTCCTCAGGTGATTACTCAAGATATCTGCCTTCTCAACTACTCTTGATGCTCAATTACCCAGGGGGCAGCTAGGTACAGTCTGTTTGACTTGACCTCTGGCCAGCACACCCCACACGCGCTGTGTGGAGTCTGCTTTTCAGTCACAGCGCAACTCCACAGAGCTGTCTGCTTGTTCTCAACCCACCCACTAGCGCTCCCTGAGGGAAACCTGCTCAGGTCATATGCTGGGCCCCAGTGAAGGCTTCAGCTTTCAGGACCTCTCACCACCCCTCCTGCCTGTTGGGTCCATATGTAATAAGAGGGCCCAGTAATTCATGTATGTCACTGAGTTGCCTCATCTATGTCTCACAGACTGACAACACGCCTGAACTTCACTTTGTTCCTGGTTGGAACTCTCCCACAGAGCAGCTAACCTGTTAGAAATGGAATGGACACTGGCCAGCAAGACCACAGGGCATCTGGAAGCATGGACAAGTCTCCTATGAGGGGGACTCTGGTCGTGGTTTGAACACTAGGCATTAGGGTTCTAGCAGGATAGAGAAATGCCTTGTGGAAGGCGTGTTGCATAGGTCCACAATCGCATCCCTTGAGTTCTCATCAGGGCAGGGCAGGAGTTCATGGCTGTTATGCTGTATGAGATCTCTAGGTCAGGTTGTAGGAAAATACAGCACATGATGCCCAAGGAGAGGATGGATGAGGGGCTGTTTGATCCTATAGGTCATATTCTACCAAATTAAATTCAGGTATAAGGACATAAAAATTATTTCAGATACTCATACAAATGCCCAGAAGCCTAATTACAGGAGGGAGGGAGGGGAGGAGAAAAGGAAAGGGGAGGGAAGGGAAAAGAAGAAGTAAGGAGGGTGTTGAGGAGGGAGGGAGGGAGGGAGGGAGGGAGGGAGTAAGAAGGAGAGAGACAGACAAACAGAACATAGGAACTCCTGTGACACGTATGAGATATAATGGTGACAAAATAGTTTAGTAAAATATGTATCTGCATATTTTAAAGGTAATGAAGAGAAAAATCTTAATTAGTGATAACCCAGAATGAGTTATCTGCTGATCTGTACAAAATTTCAATATTTTATTTTATTTATTTTTGAAATTTTATTTTCTTTTATTATTATTTTTCTGTGTGTGTGTTTGTGGCTGGCTCAGCCTGCCCGGGGGGCAGGGCTAGAGCGGCATGTGGTGCCAGGGATCAAACTGCGGTCCTTGCGGTCGGTTAAGCTTGCCTAAGCAGGCACTTTAGACCGCAGAGCTCTTTCTCTCCAGCACCCCCAAATATCAACATTTTAGAAGGTGGAAAGAAAAGAGACCAAGAGATAAAAAAGAGAGAAAAAGAAAAAAGAACAACAGAGTTCTTTTAGATGTAAGACAGAGATAAGCTGGATATGGTAGCCCACACATGAAAGCCCAGTACTCTGGGAGGTTGAAACAAGAGGTTTGTAAATTTGAGCTCACTACAGCAGCTCAAAAAAAAAAAAAAAAAAAAAAAAAAAAAAAAAAGACTGTGAATGCAGTTCAGTGCGAAGCCCCTAGATTCAGTCCCTAGTAACACACTCATGCACACACATACACACACCACACCAAAAAACCCAAAGATTAACTTTTAAGTAAGCAGAATAAAAACGAAATACTGAAGTAGAGCCAAGTGATAGTGAAAAAGTAAAACAGTACGAAGAAATTTACATGTACCAGGCCAGGCAAATAGCTCAGCAGATTAAAGCACCTGCTTAGGCAAACACAGGGGCTGGAAGTTCAATTCCCTGGCCTGCCCTGCTGGCCAAGCTGAGAGAGCCATTGAGACTGGGCGTGGTGGTGGTGTGCGCCTATAATCCCAGCTCTTGGGAGGCTGTAAACAGGAGGATCACTCTGAGTCTGATCTATGCAATGAGACCCTGTACACCCTGTACACCCTGTCCTAAATTAAAGAAAAAAAGAAATTTACATATATTAAAAACCATAATAAGTACTAATACCGATAGCATAAACTCAACAAAATATATCACATTTCATTCATAAACACCTAGTTATATACATTCAAATATCACTGTTGAAACCTAAGTACATAATTTTTTTTTTCAGAATAGGGGATTGAACTCAGCAAGCACTTATTCTATTGAGCTACCCCCCACCTGGCCCCAGTAAATAAGATTCTGATGGGAAAAAAAGACTTGAAAAATATCGGACTGTAACCAGTCACAAATTGGTGTAACTATTTTAGATCTAACCAACCAGATTTTACAACAAAAGGCTAGAAAAGATCAATATGCGTGTTGAAATGTTCAACTCACTGAGAAGATATAATACTTCTCAAATGTATGCTTTCGGAGGCCAACGAGATAGTTCAGCGGTCTAAAGTGCCTGCTTAGGCAAGCTTAGGCAGGCGCTGGGTTCCGCGGTCCCTGAGCTGGCCTAAGCTTGCCTAAGCAGGTACTTTAGTCAACTGAGCCATCTTGCAGGTCCACCATTTTATTTATTTATTTATTTATTTTATTTTTTCCATAATTTTATTGATAAACAAATAGCAATGACAGTTTCAAATCAAATTGGTAGGACCACCATTTTACTTTTTAAAAATAAAAGTTTTTACCTTTTTTTTTTTTTTTTTTTTGCAGAGCCGGGGATTGAACTCAGGCCCTTGCGCTTGTCAGGGAAGTGCTTATTCCACTGAGCCATCTCCCCGGCCCCTAGCGTTTTATTTTTTAAAGAGAATAAGATAGTAAAAAAATAAAAACATACAGAATTCTTTGTAAAAACATCAGTTAGTCAAAGCAAATAGAAGATGCTGATAAAATGAAAATCAAATACAGAAGAAAACAAAGGTACAGTTAAAAAAATTCGTAAAAGCTGGTTCTTTGAAAATGATACTGAAACAATTAGCAAGATTCGGCTATAAAAAAAGAGAGAGGCGGAGCGTTTCTCTTTTCCTCCCGGGCTGCCTGAGGCTCCGTTGCCATCATGAATGACACAGTAACTATCCGAACCCGGAAATTCATGACCAACCGGCTTCTTCAAAGGAAACAAATGGTCATTGATGTCCTTCACCCTGGGAAAGCAACAGTACCTAAGACAGAAATTCGGGAAAAACTCGCCAAAATGTACAAGACCACACCAGATGTCATTTTTGTGTTTGGATTCAGAACCCATTTTGGTGGTGGCAAGACAAATGGCTTTGGCATGATTTATGATTCCCTGGATTATGCGAAGAAAAATGAGCCCAAACACAGACTTGCAAGACACGGCCTGTATGAGAAGAAAAAGACCTCAAGAAAGCAGCGGAAGGGACGCAAGAACAGAATGAAGAAAGTCAGGGGCACCGCAAAGGCTAACGTTGGTGCTGGCAAAAAGTGAGCTGGAGATTGGAGAACAGCCGAAGGAGTAGATTCTGCAGTGCGTGTCTGCAGTGACTGCGACTTTGTTCACGAGAGGATTTAATAAACTGTAAAACCTTCAAAAAAAAAAAAGAGAGAAGTAACTCATAACTAACGTCAGCAATATAAAAGGAGAAGTAACCTCGATTGAAATAGTAAAAAGAACAGAGAAGGCACTCCCGACTTTTTGATAAAAAAATTGGAAAACTTAAGTGGAATGAACAAACGCTTGGGAAAATGCTCATGGAAGAACACGTAAGTTGACGGCACTGGAAGACTGCACAAGGAGTAGCCGGATAGCTCAGCAGACTGAAGCGCCCTCTTAGGCAGAGAGCAGAGGCCGGGGTTCAATCCCTGGTGTGCCGTGCCATGCCCCCTGCCAGGGTGCACTGAGAGGGCGACTGAGGCTGGGCGTGGTGGTCTGCGCCTGTCATGCCAGCACTCGGGAGGCTGAAACCAGGAGAATCACTATGAGTCCGATCTACGTAATGAGACCCTGGAGACCTGTGCTAAATACACAAAAAAGAAGATTGCATAAAGAGAGAACACCAGGCCCTGACAGTTTTATAAGGGATATCTGCCAGTCGTTGAAGAAGCAAAGCGTTCCAATTTTATGTGTGTGTTTCCAGATAATGCGAAAATGAGAACAATCTCTAGTTCACTGACTCTGTCTTCATGCCCAAAGTTCACAGATGAAAGGAAAAGGCCAGGCTCGCGGATACAGATGTAAAATTGTTGAGCAAAAGATTATTGAATTGAAATGTGCAGTAGATAGTGTGGAAAGAGAACATTGAGCTGAGGACGGGGACCGGGGGAGACATAGCGATGGAGGCAACCAGCATGCCCTGGATAACTGGACTGCTGATATCTGTTGCTTTATGGGAAGGAGAGACTAATGCTTTTTTTTTTTTCCTTTTTTTTTCTTCTTAACTTCTTATAACCTTTACCCCTCAGTGTTGTGGGTATATACCTGGTTATCTAACCAACCATTTGAAGACAACACTATGCAATACAATAGATATTCTCAAATTTGTATTATTGTATTTAGTACAATTCTGCATTATTTCTAATGTTTTGTAATTATCATTTTGTATTCTCTTTAAAAAATAAATTAAAAAGATTATCAAATTGAATCTACAAGAGTATCAAACGTATATATCAGGAATACTTTCACAAAAC